AGTACTGGCACTGGTCTGGGCGGTTGAGCCAGCAATTTGCGGCCAATCCACGCCAGGGGGCGGAGACATGAATACTGTTGCTCGGTCATGACCATTACTCTAGGAAACATAAAGGAGACAACAGTCAAAGTTTTTGTTGCAACATAAATCTACAGGCACAAGGAGGCATCATTTACCTTTGGGGGAGGTCGGGCCAGCTTGAAGGCGTGCTCGATGTCGTTTAACCTGACATAATTGGGGTCGGCTAGATTGAATAGCTCCCCAATTCTGGCTTTGATTTCTACCTTGTCGAGCGCCTCTTTTCTGGTCCTCGTTGGATCTACGCTACCCTGGTACTCGAAGCCAGGATGTACCCTCTTTTGGCAGGGTTGGATCCTTCAGCTGATGAAGTTCCCGACCATGCTTGGACCATCCAGTTTTCTCCACGAGATCAACCCGAGCAGTTCTATAATCTATTCCAAGTGCTCGGGTTTCTCCGACCAGCTGTTCTTCTTCTCCGGAATCAACCCCACGTCACACAGAGTGATCGTGTTCGGCTCTTCACGGATGTAGAACCATTTCTTGTACCATTCGTCCAGTGAGGTGTTCCATGGGCAGTGCAGGTACTGGGCCTTCATACCATCACGCAGATTGAGGTATACGCCTCCGGCTATCTTCGAGCCTCCGCTCCCTTTCTTCCGCAGACAGAACAGATGGCGAAAGAGGTCAAAATGGGGCTGGAAGCCACCATAAGCTTCGTAAAGATGGATGAAGGTGGAGACAAGAAGAATCGAGTTGGGATGCAGATTGCAAATTCCAATCTCGTAATATAAGCAGAGCCCCTGAAGGAAAGGGTGCACTGGAACCCCAAAACTCCGCTTGAAGAAATCCTCGAAAACCACAATCTCACCTAGTTGTGGATCAGGGAAGCTTTCTCCTTCCGGCGCACGCCATCCCGCGAGTGCCTTGTTGTGGAGCACTCCCATGGCGACGAGGTCTTCGATGGTCTGCTCATTGCTCCTTGACTTCCACCACTCCTTCGCCATGACTCCACCTTTCTTCTGGGCGTTTCTCTTCGCCATTGATCTGCCCTTGTTAAGAGGGTGGATGCGGTGGAGGAGGGATTGGTGGTGATTTTCGGAGGAGTAGGGTTTGGCGAGAGGAAGAAGGTTGCGGCGGTGAATGACAATGGGGATCGGTAAAAAGTAACTTACCAAATTGTATATTATAAATAACCAAGGGCTCCATCGTTTCGCCCGCCCGAGATTCTTAGGCGTCGCGATGCGCACATGACGGTTGTTTTCACAACCTTGAGATCTACGCCAGCAAACGCGCCCCTTCGTTTCCAGTGTACGCGCCTCTTCATTGATAATGTGAGAGGGCCCACACTGGCGCACCTCCATACAGGCACCAAGCGACTGTTTGTCAGAAAGAGTAAGAAGGCAGAGTGATATGTTATATCCGTCTATTTTTTTGACCAGACGTGGTAGATTGGACTTGACAGAGTAAGGAGATAAATAAATACACCAAATAATAATACAATCGGCGTTCTTTTCTTTTGGCTGCATATCTTGAGCTCAATGATGGACCAGACCACTACCGTGCTCGGGATCGCCTGCACCACTGCCGTGCTTTCGGATCGCCTTGACCACCGCCGTGCTTGGGGATCGCCAGACCATCTTTGCCGTGCTCGGGATCGCCCAGGACCAACTGCGTGTGCTCGAGCACCGCTTCGAGCCATTTATCACGCTTGGGGGACTGCTCCAGCTACTCATGTGCTCGGGGACTGTCCCGACCATTGCTCAGAGATCGTTCTTCTCGGCTACATGTGATTTGTACTCACATACAGTTGAGAGATGTTTATTTAGACCTTGCTACAAGGCTCATACCTCGCCTTCCAGCAAGCTCGGGGACTACATCGATGACGATGCACCGCGCGTGCATCTCGTATCGCTTTGTCTGACGATTGGATTCTCAACTTAATCGGGAATTCTTTTTTAGACCACGCACCACGTGCCTTCACGTCACCTACTACCGTGCTCGGGGACTAAGTGGGCACACTTCACCTTGCGGTGAATGTGTTTGTTTTTCACCCCCTCGCCTCGATGATCAAGGACGCTTACGCTTTAAGACGCACTTACATTTCTTTTCAGAAATACAAGTGGGCACACTTCCCAGGACGGAAATCTTTTTCTTTTTTCTTAAGAGCACCATATATATTCTTCGGACAACCGACTTCTCCGGTGACAACGGTGGTCAGAGACGTCAAGGGCTCAAGCCTTACTTATCGGAGAAGGTTAAAATGGCGTGTCGCATCATAATACATGGTGCTCGGGGACTAGCTATGGGGGTATTAACCCCTATACCCTTATGGCTAAGCTTGGGCCGGCCCGGATCGATGGGTTTGGTCCACTAAAAGACGACGTGCGGCCTAGTTAACCTGATCGGAGTCTCGCGCAAAGAGTCAGGGCGGATCTGGCGATCAATCAAGATCCTGGTCGGTTAGAATAGGAATCCTTATCCGGCCACATATGGCAATTGTAATTGGCTAGGATTAGTTTTCAGATCTGTAACCCTGCCCCCCGAACTATATAAGGCGGGCAGGGGACCCCTCTAAGAAACATCTCTCATTGACATACAGCAATACAAATCAGACGCAGGACGTAGGTATTACGCCTTCTTGGCGGCCGAACCTAGATAAAACCTTGTGTTTGTCTTGCGTCGCCGTCTTGTTTGTGGCTTGCGCATCTGTCTGCTGACAATCTACTACCTTGGGTATACCTCTAGGTAGACTGCCGACCATATTTCGTCGACAGCTGAGAATTCAGATATTGTTCTTTAGCAACTTACTTCCTTATCATAATATACATGGACTATGTGGCTCCCTTGTTCATAACCCAAGTTGTATTTGTCATTTTTCTTCTTGTTTTAATCTATGCATTTCATGATCTTGAAAATGCCCATTTGCTATCTCACATAGTTCCAAAAATATTATGCGCTATGATATTGTTAATTAAGCCTTAATGTTGGCTATTTCTGCTCAATGTGCATCACTAGGTCTATTCTATTTAGGTTTTGAGATTCTTCTTGTTTAATTGGAACTGAATGTCTTGAATTTGTTTATTTTTAGCTTCTGCTCGGTCGAGGCACAAGTGAGGCACCCAGTCGATTTTTCTGCATCTAATTTGTGTATAAGCAGCTCTTGTTTGTGGAACTGCAAAATATCTCAGGTGTTTGTTGTTTCCTTTCTTTTTATTTCTTCTTCAATAACCAATGTCATCCTGATTCTTAACAGTGTTACCCTTTTAATTGATTGGTGTCAGATTGTCGCACGTACTATAACAGTTTACATGTGATTGTTCAATCCCTATCTATTTAGCATCAGTGACAATCAAAACCAGTAGTGTCGATTTATCAGTAATTACATGGATATTACGAGGACTTTACTCACTGCAAGAAATTACATTAGATTTCAGTCTATGGTTTGTTGCCTGGCCACGCTCTCTGGTTTCTTTTTATTTCGCAAGAACTGCAAAATAGTTCTATACCAAGAGGACAATGGCTATACCTTATCTAATTTACTTTACCAATCATGCTTTATGTATGCACTTTCAGTTCTTGCAAATGTGCTACATATTAGATCAGCACAATGTTTCCTAAATCTTTCAATATATGCTTTATGGAATAGACATGCAGTAGGAAGGCTCACTCTGTTCCAAGCGTCTTGGCTCCCTACAATCTGATGTGTTGTCCATTCAGTGATCATCACGCTATTGCTAGTGTTTAGGAGTACCTATCATGCATGTATTCATTTATGCTCCAGCTTTCACTTGTGCTCTCATCCTAGATGTAAATTAGAATCTTGTTGCTCCATAGTGCAGCGTTTCTACAGGAGCTGGGAGGTTTCGAACGGTGTGACGTGAGGGTGCTGATGTGTGTCTTATATTATAGTGAAAGTATTAAACTTCATGTATTGAACTGCTACGGTGAATGCATTGAACTTCTTTTTTGTAATTAGTGAATCCTAACATGTATTAAACTTCACTTTATGTCTATCTTTTTTATTTTACCTATATTTATGCCAAATGAGCTGAACCCTTCATCCAACATGGTCTCTTAGGTGCTGCTTGTGTTAGGCAATGGGTATAGGACAACAAAGCCAACCTGTTGCTTCATCATCTTCAACGGTTCCTAAGGTATGTGCACCCAATCCGTTAGCTCTATTTTTTGTATTCACCTGTTTTGTGCACTCAATTTTTAGTTGTCGCTATTTTCTAACCTTTTGCAATCCATCTCCTATTCTCAGCCTCGAAGATAGCTCTACAATGATTTGACTCAATCTCAGAAGAAAAGAATATGGGTGATAGGTTTTGGTGGTCTCCTAAAGATTGCTTCTAAAACCCTTCCTATAGGTTTTGCAGACTGGTTGAAGGCTGAGTGCTATGATGCTGATTCATCGGAGCTGGTGTTTCCTGGCAGAGGAAGAATAGGTGCAGTGTTTGCAGATCATATGATCACAATGCACAGAGATGTCCAGACAAGCCTAGAAGAGAAGTTCAAAATTAAGAAACAGTTTAAATTAAGAAATAGTGTTACTGAAATGTACTTCAATGTGTTTGTGTGAAAATTTGTGTTGACAGACCCGTTGTACATCTTATATGCTAAGACGAACACAAAATTTCACACAAACACATTCAAGTACATTTCAGTAACACTATTTCTTATTTTAAACTGTTTCTTGATTTTGAACTTCTCTTCCGGGCTTGTCTGGACATCTCTGTGCATTGTGATCATATGATCTGCAAACGTTGCACCTATTCTTCCTCGTCACTTGACTATTCATCCCCTTTTTGCGCGCCTTCTCCTTCCTGCGCCCTTTGGCTTTTGACTTTGGGGGGTTCCCTACATTTGATTAGCTTGGACCAGCCACTACACCTACAGGGTGAAATGCAATATCAGCAACTAAGTAATCAAGTACAGGTGTACTAGGATGAAGTAAAGCAGAACATAGGGTCTAGTTTTTAAACCTGTAGTCCGCAGTGAAGGTCCAGTTGGAGTAGAGGCACTGGACCAGTGTTCTGTAGCACCAGTATAGCACCAGGGTCTTGTGCACCTTCTGTAGCACCACCTTCTATAGCACCAGTGTTCCGCCTATTCGCCATCTTCCTTTTCTTCATTTCTTCAAATTCAGATCGCATCTGCTTGATGTGCTTCTCCAAAATAGCATAGTTTTCATCACTTGTACAGCCCTCAACTGCTAGTGCTGCAAATGCGGTGGATGCGTTCGTGAATCTCGGAGTTTTCTGGCCAGTCAATGGCATCCCATGGGCTACAAGTTCCACCGGTGCCTGCACATTTTGGACCTGATCTGTATCACTAGTAATTGCTTGTTGCGTCCACCTTTTAAGGATGTAACTTTCTGCTATCAATTTCACCCCCATCCTGACCATGACCCTCATAATGTGGCAGCAAATGATTCCATCCCTGTCAAACTTGTTGCACTCACAGCGGTAGCTTTCCTCCTCTTCTATTGCCGTAACAAGGTAGTTCCTTTTTCGATACCCATAAACAAAGCTATTATTGAGCTCCACCCAATATTGGAACTGCCCTACAGGCTTCACATCATATTCTGTAGTTTTCTCAAACTCTTTGGAGAACTTGTAGAACATATTCTTTGTGTATACAGTGGAAGCATGCTTCTCAAGTGGATGCCTTGACCATCGTCTCCGCTCATTCTCAGCAGTCCTAAAGTCTTGCCCATCCTGTGCTACCAAACACTTCTCTTGTATATTCTGGTACTGTCTCACAAACTGTAGCACGGACAAGTTTGGGTTCACATACTTCTTGAGCAAAGCATTGAATCCCTCGCTCCTTTGAGTCGATTGGAGGAATGGGAAGAAGCTGTGCATGTAGTAGACTGGAATGAAGCTCTGCCTTATGTGGTACAGGTGTTGAAAATGCTCATTGCCCTCCAAATCATGTTTCTGGACCATAGCGGCCCACTTTGACTCAAAATCTTCAGGACTTACGGTGTGGTTCAAGCAATCCACAAACTCCTCATTTAGTTCTTCATTTTTAGCAAGGATCGGTCCAATTGTGCCCGAAAACTTGTCCATGATATGCCACCTGCAATTCCTGTGGGTCATGTTTGGAAAAATGGTGCAAATGGCGACTCTCATCGCAGCGTCCTAATCGGTGATTATGTTGAGGGGTGCCTTTCCATCCATTGCCTCCAGAACTGTTACAAACAACCATTCATAGGTAGCTGCCTTCTCATTCCTTATAAAGGTACATCCTAGCTAAAAAAGTTTGGTAGTGTCTGTTGATTCCTATGAATGGTGTACAAGGCATCTCATATATGTTGGTCATATAGGTTGCATCAAATGAGACGCAATCGCTATATGCCTCTTTGTAAGCTTGTCTTGCAGCTGAATCAACCCAAAATAGGTTCTCAACCCTATGGTTGTCATCGAGCTTGATCTTGTAGAAGAAATCAGGGTCTTCTTCTTTCAAAGCTCTGAAGTAATCCAAAGTTTCCTGCATATCTTTGATTTTTTCCGTCTTGTGGATGGTGGAGCGAAAGTTTGAAACTTGTTTGCCCTCGTATGGCACTAGCTGTGTAGAGCCATAGAACTCGCTCATCAACTGCATGACCGTGTAGCAAAACGATGAAATCCTTTTTCGGCTTCGGTATCCCTCTATGGAACCTTAGGAACTTCTTGAGCGAGGGCTTTACCACAAGATCATGGTTGTGCTCGGCCAGAAAACATATGACTTGCCACCTAGAGCCAATCATTTTGACCACCATCCTCGCCTTGCAGTTTGTATATAGCATTTTCTCCCTCTTCCTTTTCTTACATCCGTCAAGCTTCTTCCTCTTCTCGCCTTGATCATCCTCTTCCTCTTGTGCACTATCCTCCTCTTCGGCGTCATCATTGTTAGAGTAGCAAGTGATAGCTTCAACAAGCTGAGCAGCAATTCTCCTTTTCTTGCCAAAGCCTTCCTTATTGCACACGAACTAGACCTTCTGCATTTCTCTTGTGATTGCGGACTGGCGTGACGTGTTTGTTCTAATCGAGAAGCCAGTTCTCTTTGCATAAGAGTTATACTCTTTTGCTTCGTCCAAGGATGCAAAAGACAGACCATTGTGTGGCATTTGAGGAGTAGACCACACCTCTTCCTCCTCTTCTGCTACTTCATTTCCAGCACCATTCAATTCATTATCAACAACTACAGGATTAGCAGTAGAACCTTCATTCCTGTCCTCAATCCTTGCATGTTCAAATGACAATCTGATTTCAGAAACGGTAGGAAGAACCTCTTCTGAAACTGCAGTAGCCGCCTCTGCTAAACCAGCATGACCAACTTCAGAAAAACTAGGCAAAATCTGCTGGTTCACATGCTCATCATTAGGCTGAGGAATTTCAGGAATTGCAGGCACTTGAGTGCAGAAGGTAGGGTTGTCGGTCACATAATCCAAACCAAATGCATCTAAGAAATCTTCATCCAAATATGGTGGCAGCTTGTTAAGATCCATATTTGAGAACTACATACAAAACAGTAAGTTACATGAAATTAGGCAACCAGTCAAACCCATTAGGCAATAATACTATATAAAATTAGGCAAAAAAGGCCAACAACTTATGCAGTTTTGTTCAGTACATGCTATCAGTTTTGTTCAGTACATACTATCAGTTACATGAAATTTCATGATAGCTGTGGCTATCAGTTTTCCACAGTTACAGTGGGACTGAAGACTGACTAACACTGTACCTAAATGTTACAACCTGTAAAATGGACACATGAGAGTTTAGAAACTTAAGACTATCCATGGTACAAAATGCATTTTATTCCATAGTCAGTTTTCAACTTAATGAATCTACTGTTCTTATGTTTTCCTCTTTTTGCAGAAAGTTGAAATTTGAGGCTTGCTTGTCCTCAACTCAGTTGATTTAAATATTTTTTCCCTCTGTTCTCACTATCATCTATGTGCTTATCCACCCTGTTCGCTTATTGGTTTCAGCCAGGCTTATTCAACCAGCCAACAGTGTTTTTCTCTCACAATAAACCAGCATCAGCCAGCCCAAACCAGCTCAGAAACCAACCAGCGAACACGCCGATCATGTACTTCTATTTAATTGCAGGTGTGGGGCCATCAAGCAACAAAATGAACATGTGCAGCAACCATGTGAAGTAGCTAACACAAGAAAGTTTAATGCATAGGAGTAACCATGTGCAGCAACTAACACAAGAAAGTTTAATGCATAGGAGTAACTATGTGCAGCAGCTAACACAAGAAGGTTTAATGCATCAAGATGTACATCTATAGGAGTGGTGCATACAGCATATATCCATGTTAACTAGTAAGAACACCATCTGGTAGTAAGATGTGTAGTAAGAACATTAGTCATTTACATGTCCAAGTTAGGATCAGAACTGCTAATGCAGTAGGAACTGCATTACTATTTGTGATGCAAGAGAACTGGATTGCTTATGCAAAACAATTGAATTGCTTATGCAAAAGTAGTGAATTGCTTATCAGTTAGGATCAGATCTGCTTATGCAGTAAGAACAGCAGTACTATCTGATATTAGAACTAGATTGCTTCTAGTAACAGATCTAGTTGGTTCTATTGTGTAATTCTAGTATCTAAGAAGAAGCTGATTATCTGCAGCTGATAGTATCAAGTTCTTGCATATTTGTACGTACCTGCTATTTGGATGTATTGGTCTGCCTTGTTTGGATGAATCTGTCGGTCGCCCGATGATGGCGGCGGCGTCCTGGACGCCTCTGTTTTGCGTGTTGAAAGGAAAAAGCAAAACAGGGCGAGGGGAAAAGCTTCCAGGCGGGGCGTGGGCTTGGCCTCTGGTGGGCCTTGTCCAGGAAGCGCGCTTGGCGCGCACCCACCGTAGTGCTTCGCGCGCGCATGCACGACCGCTGCTTCCCCACGACCAGGATGGAAATGGAAAAATGTGTACTATTGGATTTCCTAATATGAAGTGTGCGTGCGGCATGCTTAATACATGCACAATACATGCACGGCCGTGCATTAGTCGTTTCCTTATGGTTTTCCAGAATTTTTAGAATACCATAGACATTTTTACGTGGTTTAAAAATCTTATCGAGCATTTACCGGTTTTTTCACTAAAAACACAAAATCTCACATGGTTTTGAGAGTCAGGGGATGTGATGTCTAATTTTAGAGTTCGATGTGAAAATTTAGATGACGGCAACAGTGAAGGAGCTAAAATGGACGTTAAACTATCTCACAAATTCAACTTTGGGCCTGTTGCAATCTCGGTTTTCAAATTGTTGGAGGCCTTGTTGGGCCTCCGGACCTCCGTCATCTACCTAAGAGAGGATTGGTGGATTTCCTCAAAAATAAAAGTGAGGATTGGTGGAGGAATAATAAATTAACTATGCCGCGGGTGCAACACACGAAGTCAAAAGGAAAAGGTCATATTGTAGAACAGACAATGGGCCGAGCATGATTTGAGCAACGGCACGTTGATGTCTAAAGGATAAATGAGCAAAGAGCAAGAGTGGGCATTACACATAGTGAAATGTTCCTGATAAGAGGAATTGAAAAGTAGGCTAACATACTTACTGAGAAAAGTACTGCATGATTTGCTTTTATATCATGCGTATAAATTATATGATGAATCGAATGTTAGACCAAAACTTCCATGTGGCTCCAGTTTTTTGCCTGTAATTTTGCACACAGAGGAGGACAAACAAAATACTGTAAGATCTGGAGATAAACAACAATCTTGAACTCTTGCCTCTATTTTTCATCTCATTCACTGGTAGTCTGGTCCCTAGTATTTGGTCAAAAACCTTCATGTATGAAAAGACAAATAAGATTTAATATGTATGCACAATTCACTAAAAAATGAGGAAAATAAGAAAAGATAATCACTAAGGATAACATGTCTGTAGTAAATAAACGAATCAAATAAAAGAAGAGTAGACCTACAACAACAGAGCCAGAACAGTCCATCCACCCAGGTAGCAAGCTTAAAAGGTCATACAGCGCCTGGTAGGCAAATTGAGCCCATATACAACCTATATTTATGATTTTATGCATAAAAATGGTATTTGGTATGGGCTCAATACTGCAGTATAAGGGGTCTATGGCAATTACAGAGTGACATGAAGTGTCCAGGCATAGGCAGTTGTTGCTAGTTGGGATAAGGAAATATAGAAACAAAGCTGAATAGGTTGCATTTGGCATGGGTTCAGTGCTGCAGTTGTTTGGGAAATGAGTCCAAGGAGTGTGAACTGACTGAAAATAAAAATCATAAATATAGGTTGTATATGGGCTCAATTTGCCTACCAGGCGCTGTATGACCTTTTAAGCTTGCTACCTGGGTGGATGGACTGTTCTGGCTCTGTTGTTGTAGGTCTACTCTTCTTTTATTTGATTCGATTTACTACAAAGCTGAATTATCTTTTCATTTTCATGGGTTCAGTGCTGCAGTTAAATCTTGGGAAATGAGTCCAAGGAGATGAAGATCTGACTGAAAATAAAAATGATGGAATTTTGGCAACATAAAATAATTTAACTGAGGAAAAAGGTAACTAAAAGGAACTAAAAATAATACAGTATACACTAAGATTTACTTGGGCCATTTCGAAAACAATCAAGACTCAAGTTTTAATGTTGGAACTAAGAAAAAAAAAGCGATTTGAAGTGAATGCACCAAATTAGTCTAAAAGGCAAAAAAACTGATTTGAAGTGAATACTCTGTTATTAGGATCAGGATAGCACGCTTGATCAAGTACTGTGACCGGTTTATCAATCGAGTAATAGAAGGGAATCCTTGTAGCTGGATAATAGCAACCACATTGAGTATGATTATATGAGCACAAAATTTTTCTTCGGAAATCAGCATTGGTCAATGCATCAGATAATCAGGTGCACTCACAGCAGTACAACATTAATATAAAAGTACGTCAGTCTAAAGAAGGAAAATGGGAAAGATTGTAATAAAATTCACCTACGTGGATGTGTGCTTGAAAAAGCTTGAATTTTACAATTTTATTGAGTATGGCATGACGTACCCATCTGCTAAAAACATTGCTGGTACACAGCCAAAATTTCAGAATTGCCAATATTCATCCTTGTTAGGGTGCATCACTGTTGATAACTTGAGGCTGTAAAATAATGTTCTCGTATGTAAGGTGGAGCAGGAAATTATATTGGTGAGGTATTATTGATCACATTTGGACTGGTAATGGGAAGAATAACCTGAGAAGAATATCACGAAATTCCATTGAAACTGGTCTTGTTTTGCTAGGCTCATGTAAAATTATTATTATGTATGAAAAGGTTAAGGTCCATGCTTAGTAAAAGCAAGCAAAATTTGGTACAGGACATGTAAAATGATGCTGAGTTAGTGGTGAATACAAAATAAAACACTCTGGCATCAAGCTAAGGGAATCATTAGCTTCTGGCATCAAGAAATCATTAGCTTTCATAGACGATGAGATCATGAGAATGTTTATAACATGCGACATACTCACATGTGATGGGAATTGCAGTGGTTCTAACATATACACATCTAGGTTTCATCAAATGTTCAGGAATCAAATGCTAAGTCGCTGTTAGCATCAGTCTTAACAGTATAACTGAAAAGCATCTACAAACAATAGACAATAGTGCACATAATATGGTCATTATTTTGTATACCTGGCTGGATACCCTTGCAATATATTATCAGTATAGCTATGGTATGGTGAAGCCTTTACACAGTACGTTCATGGTAGTTTAGCCATCTTAGCATGCATAGACAATAATAAATCAAAAATATATGCTCACTGTTTGTCTGTCATTTGAAACAGCTTGGTCCTATATGTGGCCACTCTGAACTGCTTCCGTGCTGCAAGTTTGCAAGTCAACATTATTCAGCTATTGATTGGTAGCATTGCCCGCACCACAAAGCAAAACCAACGGATATTTATGTAAATGCATACTGAAGCTGCAAAGATAGAACCTGAGGTGTACATAAGTAGCACATAGGAATAGTTAGATGACTGCAAGGCGCCGAACTGACGCAAAATTAGCAAGCAGAGCCCTTTGCACATTTCATCGAGCACTTAAAGCGCACAGAACACCAAGAGAAAAGGAAACAGCAGATGGGGAGCTCACGGTGGTCAGGGATGAAGGAGAAGCAATCGAAGACACACCTACATCCCATATATGATTGGAGATTGAAGCGCAATTGAGAGAAAATGGCAGTTTACCTCGCCGCGGCAGATCGGGGCTCCGGTGCCATCCGCGTCGTGTGGGGAGGCGCTCGCTCGGGCGGCCTTCCTTGCTCCGGCCGGGAGACCCGCGCCCGCGCAGGCCGCAGGTGGCCTGGTGGTAGGCGCGACGGCGGCTCAGCACCGGGTCAGGCGCTCTGGTGTGGGAGCGGCCCTGGGGTGGACACGATGGCGAGCGGAGTCAGTGCGGGAGGTAGAGGGAGGCGAGAGGGAGAGAGGAAGGGAGGAGCTTGGCGGCGGGGGAAGCGCAACGAGGCGCCGGGGCCTGCC